TGAGTTAAATCAGCTCATCAAGGGCTTCGAAAAGTGCCAGAGAGTGAAAGACTGTGAAGTTTGAAGCAGGGAGGGAAATGGGGGAAGCAAGACCGCCTTTTTGGATGGCACTAACTTGGTATATATGAATTCAGATGTGTTTCTTGTTACCTACTCTTCCTGACTCACTACAACACTACATCCATTTTCCCTGAAAGGTTCTGCAGCTGAGATTGTGCAGGCCAGGGGATGGAAAATCTACTGACATCAGTACTTCTGATGTAAACAATACTCCAGTTAGTTTGGCAGAGGAGTGGTTCTGGGGCAATTTCTCTCTCTGATCTGTTATTTTTAGGGCATTTGGCCTCCAATGTTGAGTTAATGAACAGAAGAGTGCTGGGGTGCACCACATCCTTTTGCCAGGGTCTTCCTGGCTTTCCATCCCTTCAGATACAGAGCTAGAAGGTATCATTTGACCCTTTGGCAATTTAGCATAAGAGCTTTGGCCATTATGGTGTAGCAGCTGTGCAAAAGAGTTGTGCAAAGTCATTCTCTCTGCTGCTCCAGGGCAGAAGAAATTTACAACTGATCTTCTGGATAGACATCATGAGGAAAGTGATTCAGTTCCCATCATTAGATCCCTCACTGCCCATGCATAACAGATCCTTTCATTTAACATATCTTGAGCATTTAGTGGCTGGAATTAGGAGCAGACATCCAGCCATAACCATCCCATGGCAAGCATTAGAGATCCTACTACTTCACTGCTTTTAGTCCAGCCACCTCCAAGAGTGCAAAAGGGGTGCAGAACACCCCTGTCCCAACTTGGGCATCATCTACAGCTGCTCTGAACATGCGTATGACAGTGCAGCATAACTCAGGAGTGGAGAGCTATCTTCTACCTACGCAGCCAGCCATTCACCCTAGAAAAGCTTCTTATTTGTACCAGTTCTTAGAAGCTTTTGCAATGCAACAGCCAGTGCCAGTGTGCTTAAGAACTATTTGTTTTCTCCTAAAAAGATTCCAAGTGCCCTTCTCTCCATAAATAAACCTGCACATGGGAAGCTGACACAGAGGTACATGCCTAAGTAGAACTCTATAGGATACTCTAGTCTGATCTTGCTTATACTGCTGTGAGGTCACTGTAATATTTATTATTCCAGATTCATCGCAGAGCAAATGAAAGGCAGAAGGTCCTAATATTGACAAATTTCTGTTCAGTATTGCAAAGGGATGTCAGGTATTCACACTCACTTTGAGAGTGTGTGCTGTTTGGGGTCCACGTAATCTAGAGGTGGAAACACTTTTGGGACATAGCTTGCCTTTTCATCAAGACAAAGAACTTTAAGGACTGTCACATAGCATAAGGAATACCTCTTGTCCTCTTAACTGAGCAGATAGTCTGCAGATAGTCTGCGCGCTCTTTTATGTAGCTAATCTATACATTCCTGCAGTTATGTCTATAGCAAGGGCAAAGGGGAACATAAACAGTTGTGCTGCTTCCTGCCCAGATCGGCAGTGTTTGGTTAGCAAACAAGGGACTGGGGTAGGGCTGGAGATGCAGCTCCCTTACACTAATATGTAACCTTCCAGCTCTTTCAATAGCTGCCACCCATTTCTCTGGTGTTTCTCCATAGCTCCATGACTGGTTTTGTTCCAATGCCTCAATGCTCTGCATAATTCTTGCTCAGAGAAGTTCTCCCAGTCATGCCAGTGACACTACTCAGATGAATAAGTAGTATTCAAGGTTTGCATGCCTGCACCTTAATGATTTATCTGTCTTCCTTTTCTTCCCAGATCTGCTGTGAGATTACACCAAGGTTTCTGGTTTCTGATGTCCCAGAGCTGAGAAAAGGTATTGCAGATACCTGAAACCAAGTGGACTAGTGCATGAACACAGTAAGTTACTTGCATTACCGAATCTTCCAGGAAGAATTCTATGAGAAATTTCACAGTGACTGTAGTTGGGAAAGAGCTCTCTGATTGCCCCATCTATCCTGATCACCATTCACCTCAGATTAGCTTTCCTTCTCATAGTCTTTCAGCAGCCCTGAGATCACGGAGATTAAAACACCCTGGTAAGTCATTAATGAGCCTGGACTCTCTGCAACAGCTGGACCAAAAATGGCCCGTGTTCGGCTGCATCTTAATTCTTTGCCATCTCCCCTCTGCTCATCAACACCTGCACGAATTTGTGACCCAGTATAAGAAGACCCCTGTATCCAGCTCTAAGCAACCAGCCTGCAATGCGCATGTCTAATGCTCTGCTGGTGTGGAACCAGTATGCTGGTAATCCTGTTAGTAATGGCAGAAGCTCCCTCTAGGAAATTATAACAAATAGTCTTAAACAATTCCTTTTGTTGACAACTTTATCCAAGAAACCATCTTCCCTGGAGACTTCACCCAACTTTTGACTAATCCCCTCCTTCCCTTAGGAGCTCTTTTGTTGAAGGAGATTGTAGGCAAACCCCAGGAATGACAGGTCTCTGTAAGCCTTGGATCAGCCTCTACATTCTTTCAATTGTCAGTCCCCATCTGTCCTGTTTGTACATCGATCTTCTGGTCCAGGGACCTCTCTATTAAGTGACACATGGCTGAGTTTATTCTGCAAGTCCAGTGTCCAGACTGTGCTGTTACATCTTCGTTGCCAAGTCAATCTTTCTGACATTGCTTTCTGAAAAACAAAAGGCAAGACATCTGCACAATTTCATTCTCTTCTACTGAAAGGTGATTTTTTAAAATACATGCACATCCCCTGACCAAACTTTGCCCTTGTTTTATACTCTCAAAGATTTTGCTTCATTACATCAATATCAAGAGTTATTTCAAAGGTCCTTGGTGTAATGGAGGGTAGAATCTGCCTCTGTTGCAAAGGAATTCTGTTAGGATAAAAATCCATGGCCTAAGTCCTGAATCAAAAGGAAAAATAAATCCTAATTACAAATATTTGCGGGGCTAGTGACTTCAGTTACTTTGCTTGTTAACAGTTAGTTTAAAACAAGCTCTAATTTTCCTGTAGATTCAACTACACTTAGCTAGTACAGTAGCATGTAGAGAGGCACCGCATTATTTATCTGCATTTTGAGAGGTAGCATGAGAACAGAAGCAGATTCCAATGATCC